AACCAAATTACAATACCTCTGTAAATTTTGCTTTACTTTGGTAGTTTGGTACATCATTTTATTGGCAAGTGCGTCAAATATATTTCTGTATGTACTTGCCTCCTTTCGCTTGTTATTAAAGAAAAGACCTCCTTTGATTTGCAGGAATCTTGTAGGAATTTATCATTATGTCAAAATGGTTCTGATCTGCTATATCTCTATCACCTCCTTGTTGTTGCTTTATCTTTCATTCACAACTCATAACGGAAGTTTCATGTAGCTCAGGAAGAAGTGACTCGAGGGTGGCACAGATAGAAAATCTCAATGAGGTACGACCATTTTCTTTTCTCTATGCCTCCCTTGACTTGGTAGCATAATTCTTGAGGGCTCCATTTTATAAAGCTCGGTAGTAGATGCAGATTAGAAGTTTCTTCGTATTACAATAGCCTTTATGCCTCCTTTTCTTTTCTTTATGCCTCCCTTGATTAGAAACTCTTGAAGGCTTCATCCTGGCAGTTGATTATAAATCTATTTGTATGACCTCTATGTGTAGTTGTTTTATTTATCACGAACTTAGGAAGCATCGTAGTCTTAAGTCTAATTCCAAGTTATCATTGCTAATTTGCTGGCAGCAAAAGTAGACTATGAGAAGGAGAACTCAACGAGAGGATAGCAAAGCTGGCCGGTGGTGTCGTTGTCACTCAGGTATTAATGGAGGGCATTATGTGTTGACATGCTGCTCTTTTCCTTGATAACCTGTTGGAAGGAAGGATGATATGGTGACCGTAACCCACGACTTGATAGGTGGGAGGACGAACATAAACTGACCTTAAAGAGATGTTGGGAGTTGAGGATGCTCTAATGTAACTAGGTGAGTCAATAAATGTTTTGTCATTGAACATTCGAGTTGTCAACTTTGTATTTGCTTTTCAAAGAAGCAGAATTAACTCAATTAGTTTGTTGCTTCCTTAAACCTTCTGAATTGCTTCTTCTTTTCGCATGCTGCCGTTGAGGAAGGTATTGTTGTGGAGTGTGCACTCTTTTCAAATTGGCTGCTAAAGTAGATGTATCAAGGATACCCTTTTGCATAAGGTACAAGAAACGAATGACATTGCCCCATGCTCCTAATACCCACAGCCAACACGGTCCACCACATGTTGGTCACAAACAATCATGTTGAACCATTGAACATTTCAGTTTTTCCTTTTAGACTGATTGCGAAGAATGTGGGTGTCAATGACAGCATTGTTACCGAGAAGGTTAGATCTCATTTACTAATATAAAGTTCATATATTTCTGCATAGATCTGGATATCATAAAAGATGATGTCGTACCAGGTTCTTTCTAGCTGCAAGCGTGCAATCCTTCTGTTCGATAATACGAGGACTTGATGTCTGCTGGTATCATCAAGCACACTAAAGTTTATAGTCATGTAGCTATCCGACACAATTGCTTGCTTGTCGTTCTGAAATGGAGACAATAGCACAGTTAGGCTGGGCGATGATGCAACTGGTGGCATCATTTATCTTGGTTCATCTTAGTACCATTTAACTTTTCCACCATTAGTTTTACTTGGGACTGGTAGAGAACCAAAATTTATTTTTGCAACATGCTTGCAAACTTTCATCATGTAACACTATTAATTCCATAGTTTCTCTTGATAGTGTAACAAGGCAATGGCCATACATTATACGCCTCTGATCGCTGCTATCCATGTTTGCTGACTGAAATGTGTGAAACTTCTGATTAAGGTAATGTACATCCTTCTTTATCCAATTGGATTTTTTTTATTCTGTGACTAGAAAGCTCTCTGAGATTGTGCGATTTATGGCACACTTATTTTCAGTATGCTTATCTAACTTCTTCTGTATTATGCGGGTGCTGATGTGAACGGTGTTGGTCCACCAACCCCCTTAATAGCCGTTGAAGACGATGGTTTAACTGATTTCTACAAACCTTTACTTGCGGCTGATCCTGATGTCCGCGATGATGTAAGGTTTAGTTTCTCATGTTTGTGCTGTTGGTGTCGGTACTTCTGAAAGATTGTTTATTTCTTGATTCAACTAATGGATGTTAGTATTGATATTTGGTCTCCAATGGATAGTTGCATATTAGTGCATTTGCAACAGCAATGCCACCATGACGCTTGAAATATAATGTGTATATGAAGGAGTATAATCTTGATAACATTTACACATTCCTTCATATTTCTGTGTTGAGATTGTAGTGCACATATGTTGAAAGGTTGATCTTATGTAACTATTATATTATCCTTTGTCATGAGCGTGGGAAGCTAAGTAGGCACATAGCACCAAACTGGCCGTAATGCTACCGTACGTGGGTCATGTGTGCATGGTTGTGCACCTGGCCGGCTGCAATGTAGGTCCCAAATTAGGGACTCATGTGAACCTGCGAGCGGAAATGAATGTATTGCCATACCTCTGAATCTTACGTAGTTATAATGATGTCAAGCCGTGGCATTCTGCATGCAACATCTGTCAGTCTATATGTGGGAGTTCCCTTAAAGATGAAATTTTACACATTTATTGTATTATAAACAGCAAAATAGATAGTCTCGTAAATGTGATGCTGATTTTTTGGTTTCTCATTGAAATACCTAAGATAACATGTCTCATAACATGTCACGAAGGACCTCTGGTCACAAACATTTGCTGTTTTGGACATTGAGAAGTCCAAAATAAAATTTTGACCACTAAATTTCTATTGTAATGTAAAATAGTAGAATCTAATAATGTTAATATGTCATAATATTTTGGAAGTTAATGTTGAGCTAAATCTTCACATATAATTTTCATGTTTGAAATTTAGTAAAAATTTCAAAAGTTCAACTACATGTATGTCCAAAATGGCATTACGTCTGATGACCAAAGGAAGTATAAGTAATTGTGGATTCAGTGCAGTGAAATGTGAGCTTTGTGTTCTTTGCAATGTTCAATTTTCGTCAGCTGGACTGCTTGTTGAAGAAATATTTATATGTGCTTCATATCTGTTTGAGCTATAATGTATAGCGACAGGATTTACTGGGGAAGCCTTTGGTAGCTGACTAGCGGTTATACTATACATGTTTGTATTTGTTAATCTCCCATTCCCTCAAATAAAATGTGTCTCTGCTTTATATTAATAGGGAGGTCAACTGCCAATTGAGATTGTTGCACGTCACAATAGACGGAAAGATGGAGAGATCCTTTTTCCAGTAACATCTCGTATTCCATATGTGCGTGATTGGAGTGTTGATGGGATACTTGTGTATGTCAAATCAGTGCCAAACGAGGAGGTATGAATTCGACGATCTTTGGCATCTCTAAGATTATTATCATTGTCCTAATACTTGCCCTAGAGTAGCCTACCCCAACTTGCTTGGGACAAAAGGCACTAGAGCATTTTATATTCTTTAGAATCTTCGATGCATCCCTAACTTGAAGCAAGTATATGAAAGATTAAACACATGTTTGTTTCAGACCCAACTTTATAGCTGGAATATCACCATAGGATTGAGTGGATGAAATCAAATTGACATAAGCCTTTTCTCTTAAAACATTGCAGTTCATTTAATCTTCAAACTTTGTTATTACCCATTTGAAAGGTTTCATTCCATTGACACATCAAGACATTTATTTTCTTTTGGGCGGTCTCAGTTCAAGTGGGTGGTCTCAGTTTGCATGATCTTCTGAGTTTGCCTGTTTCAGGACGACCCATTGTACAAAATGGGGCCAGCTTATCTAAAATCAGAAGGAAATAAGCAGAGACGAGAAAATATTATGTTTCTGCAATAAATTTCTACAACATGGTATGTGTTGTACTATGTTCTTTTACCAGCTCCAAATTAATCAGTGCAAGAAAAAAAATCTGCTAATGTATCATTGTGGTTTATGAAATAGTTGAATGGTTTGCAGAATTTTGCATCCCTTGTAAAAATCCAAATAATATATTTTCATTCCTTTGGTGCATCCACATTCTTATTAATTTAACAGCGTAAATCCGTTCATATGTTGTAAAGGATAAGTGCTACAGTCTTGGTTTCAGAAGCAAAGGTAATGGTCGTGAGGGGAAGCCATGGTCCACTGGGTCTTGCGATGGCCTAAGGGTGGTGCATGGACTTGTTATTTCTTAGATTATTCCAAATAAGGCCTAATGTCTTACAAGAAGATCACTTGTGAAAGGTTTGGATAGGGCCAGGACAAGATTGTTCATGTGTTCCTGGGATGAGGAGCATGACATAGTTCCACGTTCCCTGTGAATGTGATCTAACATAATCGATATGAATCAAAATGAGATACTCCCTCCGTCCGGAAATACTTGTCGGAGGAATGGATGTATCCACTAGTAGAAAACATGGCATTGGTCGTTACTATGCCTCCCCTCTTTAGTCCCGGTTCTAACACGAACCGGGACAGATGGGCCTCCACGTGGCCACTGCGAGCAACCCAGGCAAGGGGGCCTTTGGTCCCGGTTGTTGAAATGAACCAGGACCAAAAGGCTTCCACGTGTCAGCAGTTGGCTGGAGCTGATGTTTTTTTTAAAAAGTGGCTGGTTTAGGGGTTTTGGGGGTTAATTTTAGGTTTTCTTTAGCTAGCTAATAGAGAGACGTGTTCTCTCTTATATCTTCGTCCTTGGTTTACCAACGCTACTTCTATATTCATTTCACCCGCTGATATATAATAACTCATGCATGCTCGCATCATACATCATCATATATAATAACAAGTCCTATTAATCATGCATCATCGTACAACTTCTACTCATTATTAATAACAAGTCATACGATCATCATCCTCATAGTCATCGAACCCAACCCTACATAATTGTTCTTAGCACATGATCATCAGTATCAGGTAGGACGTAAACACCCTTAAGGTAAAATACCATAAAATAATATAGACCCCGACTCTCCATTATGAAGAATGGAGATCATCCTGTCTCCAATTCTTGCGCTTCGCCTCCTTTTGCTTCCAAGAAGCTCCTTACGACCGTCCATACATTTTTTCCATTCTTTGATTGTCATGTCTCCACTTCTTTTAAAAATTCGGTATGGACAGTTGAGATTCGTAGGACGACATGGTTGTATGTTCAAAACATCAAGGGTTCCGTGCGTATACATCAGATGAGGCACACAATCATTCGGGATTATCTGTTGAAAAACATAGTAATAACTTCGTAGTTAGCAATGATGTACTAGTTTTAGAAGTATTTAAAAAGATGCATGGATGTCGTAATAGTAAAAAATCTTACCAAGGTATCTCCATGGTAGTTACCGTAGTTCAACACGTGCACTAGTGGCACGTATTGACCATAATGTTCAGGAGTTCGATTGTAGACATTGTAATTCTCAAGATCAGTACAAAATGTGATCAGATGATTTTTCTTCTTATAAGTTAATTCGGAGCCATCGGTGTAGTGGGTTTGTCTACCATTTTCCGCACATTTTTTGAAGAATGAAAATAAGCTGTCAATGGAAATAAGTTGTTAACTATTTTGAAATAAACAATATAAATTACTTAATAACTATGTTAAGCTCACATGGGGGAAGAATTGGAGGTGTATCCACAAGGACCCAAATGCCCATATTGTCTTGCTGGATTGTAGGATCACCAAGATCCATGGTGACCAGTATACCCTCATCAAAACCATACATCTTGCAAAGTGCTTCCCAATTTTTGCAACCAAAATGGGTTACACTCTCAGCATTGTACAATTTTACTTTAAAATCCACACCATGATAGGTCCTTAGAAGAATTTTTTTGGTTTCCATATTTTCATGGTCTTCAAAACCCATCCTCTCCCAGACATAGCATCTTTCATAGCATGGGATAAGCTAGTCGAATTGGAAAAAAAATTGAAAAATACACGTTAAAATAGTTGAAGTCGTGCTTAATTACGAAAAAAAACTATTGTCATCGTTGTGTATCGTATGAACATCGAAGGTCTCCTCGAGCTTAATGTTGAAGTGCCGATCTTCGTCCAGCTCAATGAACCTGTCGCACATACCTCGGTCGTCATGGCACCAGTCGCACTCCCCTGGGCGGTTTTCGTCGTCCGAGTACGACATTTCCGGCCTAAGTTCATAATTCAAATATTAAACTTGTACAATTAAATATATGTACTAAAAAACCTAAATTAGATCATTATTATTAATCACGGGTTGACTATATCGGTGATGGTACGTAGCTGGTCCTTTCATTCCCGAGTGCATTATTACACCAAATTGTCTAGCACACGGGAATGAAGGAGAAGCTACCCCCACGACGGCGTGGATGATGGAGGGGGCTTCTAGATTTCTGCATAGAGTGCTCTTCAATTTTAGCATTCAAAGTAGGAGTACTTTTCCAATATGAGCATTCAATAAGCAAAACCAAATCGTAAAATAAAGTAGTATTCAAATTAGCATGCATTCAATTATAACCAAAAGTACATCATTTCTTGTGTCCGTACATCGTCGAATACTCCTCGAATACTATCATACATATAGCATCGCTAATTAATACAGCTAGAACCGTAGTGCCCGACGGGTATCGTCGCGGGCGGTGGACACCCAAAGATAAGGAACGATCACAGGATCATAGCTCCAGTGAGATCCCTGAAGAACCTGCCAGGTATTGTCGAACCTGCCCTCCAACGCAACCATGTAGCGACGGACGTGCTCGTCCTCCTCACTGACACGGTGACGTACCACCTCCGCGGTGTTCGGAATCCTCGGCACCGTCACTGGCCCATGCGACCGCCACCAAACAAGGATCGGGTCAACAACGGGCTGCCTCCTCACCAACCTATGTCCCCCAGAAGGTAGCACCTCCCAATACCAGCCCGGCGGAGCCCAGTCCCGAACATGGCCCTGATCAAGCAGGCCTCCAGCGCCGAGTCGACGACGACGAGGATGCGGGATATGCATCGTCGACGTCGATGCGGGAACTACTTCTATATATAGTAAAATAAAGTAGTTTTATTAATTAAATTAATTAGTTCAACTACTAAGCACTTACTATAAATAAATAAAGTAGTACTTACTAAAAATAAACTACTTCTATATATAGTAAAATAAATTGGTTTATTAAATCAACTAGATAGTTCAACTATATATGAAGCACTTACTATAAATAAAATAAAGTAGTACTTACTAAAAATAAACTAGTTTAACTATAGCTCTATTATTTTTCTAACTAATTATATTAAACACTTTCTCTTCTTATTTTCCTTTTTCCTCAATTCTAAATATGAACATATTCATAAATGAATTTGATCATGCACAATTTTCCTATACATACACAATATGAACATATACACAAATTGAGAAAGAAAATTCTATGAACAAAAAAATCATTAAAATTCTATGAACAAAATTACAACAGAAAAAATCATAAAAATTCTATGAACAGAAAAAAATCATAAAAAATTGACATGTTCGATCTTTGCATATATACGAACATACAAACATGCATATTCAACAATAATATCACCAAAAAAATCTATTAACAGAAAAAAAAATCTAAAATACTACAATATGAAAAAATCTATGAACTACAAAAAATCTAAATTACTACAATATGAACATACAAACATGAACAAATTACACAACATGGAAAAAAATCTATGAACTACACATCTAAATTACTACACATCTAACAAAAAAATCTATGAACTACAAAAAAATCTATCAAAAAAATTTGCTCACGGGATGGCCAAGGCGTGAGGGGCACGGGGCGGCGACGGCATCGGGGCGACGATGGCGTGGGGCGGCGACGACGGCGCGTGGTGGCGACGGCGTCGGGGCGGGGCGGCGACGGCGTCGGGGCGGGGCGGCGACGGCGCGGGGCGACGATGGAGCGGGGCGGCGACGACGGCGCGGGGCGGCGAAGGCGTCGGGG